CTCTCTCTCTCTCTCTCTCTCTCTCTCTCTCTCTCTCTCTCTCTCTCTCTCTCTCTCTCTCTCTCTCTCTCTCTCTCTCTCTCTCTTTTCATGGATGTGTGGTTTTATCTAAGTTTCAAGGCACCAACGCCCGAGAAATATCTCTTCAGGGCCTTCGGATTGGCCCACTCGGAGTTGCTGTAGGAGTCGTCGTCGTCCTCTTCAAGCTCCTTCTGCTCCTGCTGTTTCTTGTAGTACCACGCCATCATCGCCTTCTGCGTCTCCTGGTCGACCGGCGGCTCCCGGGCGGGTGCCCCCGCTCCCTTCTTCGTCAGCTTGGCTGTTATCTTCGTCTTGTCATTCTTTCCGACATGTTCCCCCAACTTCTTCTCCCTGGCCAGTTGCTTTCCAGCCCACCATAGCTGAGCTGTGTCGGGCTCCAGCACCTCCTGACTGTAAGAGGTTCCTGTCAAATCCTCTTTGTCCTCTAGTGCTTGCCTCACAGGGTCCCAAATTGGCAGTCCCATGGGGTAGCAAATCATTGTGGCCCCCTTTATGTTCATAATGGCCTCCTCTAGCATCGTCTTGGTAAGCGGTTTCTTGCACTCCACCTGATCTTTCGAAGCCAGTTGGGTCGCTTCCATGAGTGTCTTGCGTAACACCTCAGCCACCGTAGGATCACAGGCCTCTCCTGTGCGTTTGCCCAAGGGATCTGCGTTGTAGAAGGGTCCTCTCTCCTTCGTCCCCTGCTTGTTCATATCCCCCCCCTCCATCGAATACCCCTTGGGCATGTCCTCCACCTCCTCATCTAGTCCTTGTTCCTCGTATGGCTTGGCCGGGCCGTGCTTGGCCAGCTCTTCGCCCTCTAGAGCCAGCCGCTCGATCCTAAGCCGGAGATTATGAACCTCTACTAGCTGCCTGATGACGTCATCAACCTTATCCTCCACGCTGGCCTCAAATAGGAACTGCTGATCTTGAGTCCTCTTCATATGAATGAGAACCATCTTGTCTTGATTTGTCCCCCAACCCCTCCCCCGAAAACCCTTAATACCCCTCCAGAAGAACCCTTACCCCTCTAGAAGACCCCCCCAGTCAAAACCCTTAATACCCCTCTAAAATATACCCCTCCAGAAGAAACCCTTACCCCTCTAGAAGACCCCCCCCAGTCAAAAGCCTTAATACCCCTCTAAAATATACCCCTCCAGAAGAAACCCTTACCCCTCTAGAAGAACCCTTACGCCTCTAGAAGACTCCCCCCACCCAAAACCCCTCATACCGCTCTAGAACCTCCCCCGTAGCTTGTGAATTGAATGGGGTGTAAGGTTGTATTGTGTGCTGTGCTGTGCTTCCCATACACCCCCCTCCGCAGCCCCCCTCAACAACCCCTGGCCCCTCTACAATATACCCCTCGAGAAGAACCCCCTCTAAAATATACCCCTCCAGAAGAACCCTTACGCTCACCTAACTCCCACTGAACCCCACGAACATATTCTATACTCTGTAGGTAGACAAAGCAAATATATAAATAAATAATAATGAGGGAACAAATATATTATGTACA